AAAGCCGCAGGAGCTGATGTCGACGGCAATGTTGTCTGACAAGCGTTGAGTCAATTACATGGTAATAAACTAATGGCCAACGACTGCACGTCCGTCAGTCCGACCGTTGGCACGTCTGCACGTCTCTTGGCCATCAGCAGCAGCAGCAGCAGCAGCAGCAGCAGCGGCAGCTGCATGACGTGTTCGTTAATTTGCGGCAATTGTTGAACTTTTAGGCCAACAACGGGCGCCCACTATAATAATTGGCTCGAGCATAATGAGCCTTGTCTGGATTGTTACACGCAATTCCCAAAATCTGAAARCGTTTGCRTCGATTCTGTTCGGTTTTATTCGCACCCGAYTCGATTCGATTTGAYTTGTTTACCAAAGATTTAATCATCCGCAAATGTATTCAATTTCACATAAACACAACTACATATCAGAGAGCTCAGGCGTGCACGCACTTGTTGATATTTAGCTGGTAGGTGGACCCCGGCGGACAGGTGCCGTGCACCGGTCGCTCTTTGACGCACAGATTCTTCTCGGTGCTGAAGCCGGTGGGGCAGCTGGAGCCCCAGGCGCCGCCGAGCACCGCCAACAGCAGCAGTAGAAGCCAAGCACAGTTGCAGTTCATAGTGGTTGTCTAGGTGAAGTAATTGCAGTTACCGTTAGCCAAACACCTTCCTCCAGTTCTCACCTGTAGCAAGTGCAAATGCAACTATTTACGGATCYKCAGTGGGTGATGCGCTTTTATAGAGCCGACACGCGACTTATCAGCGGCAGCTGTTTACAACTCAACCCTAGAATGAATGGGGATCAGCCGTTCATTAGGTTAGTTGATAATCAAATTTGTGGAAAACAAGGCAATTCAGCGATTAATCGAATAGAAGCAAAACAACGTCCATCTGGCTTTTTGATTACATTTTATTTAATCAAGCACCGCTCAAAACTAAGCACCATAGACACAGGCATTAATGTTCACCTTGTAGGTGGAGCCAGCGGGGCACTCGCCATGAATGGGGCGCTCAGCAACACATTTTCCGCCCTGGGCCGTGAACTTGGCAGGGCAATTGCTAGCCGAGACGACGGCGAACAGGGCAAAGATGAGCACGGCAAACCACGAGAAGTTCATTCTGTTTGCTGCAGAAAAACGTAGAAAAATATATAAAAATAGACGATTAGAATTGACTTTTTATAGTAAAAGCCTGAATATTTTAGAGGATACTAGATAATATTTGAACTTTAAATTTTGTTAGAAATAAATAAGACTGTAATATATGTGCATAAACTATATTTAAATAATTATTATTTAA